AAGTGGGAGAGAGAGCAGAGACCTYAAAAAGGAGAAAATACTTAACCATGCCTTAACTGCATTTACAAATTACAGGATGGAGTCTGGTCCTCTTGGAAAAGCCAATCAATACTGGACTTATTGTTACTAATACAGAAAAGAAACCACAATGGGGCAAGATTATCAAACAACTGGGATTAAGTCAGGCTCCTGCAAGCAGACTGTGCAATGTAACTACCTTACTGTGGACTAAATGCATATCCTAAGGATAAATGCCATTCAGTAAAAATTTTCTTAGATTGACTGCCTGAAAAAAAAAAATTAAAATTCCAATGGAAATCTAGACTGAAGGAAAGAAAAAAAAAACATGGAGCTATTCACCAATACTATGGTCTTAAAATTTTCATTGCATYTGCCCCAATAACTTATCAGAAAGTTAAAGTATGAGCAGCTCATTTTCCCAGTGTGACTACTGGGCAGAGCAAACAGCACAATGGAGGAGTTTGGTGAATACAGAAAAAGCAAGTGCAGTGTCCACAGAACCAAAACAGAACAGACTGTTTGAAAGAATGGTTCTTCAGTCATGAACAGTWGTATCCATGTAACAAAAGAAAATCATGTTCAGTGTCCTATTCTGTTATATCCAGCTAGTTTAATGTTGTATATGCTTTACTTCTTAGCTTCACAGAAATGCTGGTGAAAATATTTTTGGTTTTTCTTCTATTATTATGCAAAGTATTTTTTTTTTTATGTGTCTAAGCAAAATAAAGCAGGGAAAGAGCCACTTTTAACCCAAAGGTGATATGAACTGCCTCCTACTCATTAATGAAACTATTGATTCAGATTACTGAGCAAACCTCCAAAGTAATAACAAAGCTAGCCAGCAGGGGAAAAAAATCCCTACAAATAAATTAGAGAGTTGCCATGCTCCTCCAGACTCACTGGGACTTAGCTTTGGTGAAGAAATTCTGCRGGCATGAATTGACAACTTGGTAGGAAGAGAATTTGCATCAAAATCTCTCTCTAACCCTTTTCCTCCCATCCGATTGCCCAAAGCAGTACAGACTAAGATTTATTTCCTGAAGATTTTATTTTCTTTCTGTGTAGGACTCAATTGAGCCATTTAAAACAAATGTCCTTAGAATATCAGTGCCAATTTTAACGCTTAAGGAACGTCCCAGCTACACAAAGCAGACTTTGATTTGAGTGTATATCTTAAATWTTATTGGCCACAGACAGTTCTTTGGCCTGGCATCTAGGTTTTATCATCATTTAAATGAGTAATACAGAGTTTTAATTTCCATAAAGATCMCTCTGCTTAGCTGAGGGATGTGTACACAAATAAGGTGTATGTGAAGAACCTTTGGTCTTGCCACTGTGGTAACAAGTGGCTGTAATACAATGAGGCCATAAAGCTCACGTAGGATTTTTATGTTAATTTGGTAAGACTCATGCATCAACTACTTGCTTGTTTTATAAAGCAACCATAATGCATCTGGCTTCATGGAAAAGTGCCATGATGGCAGACCAGCCTCACAGAAAATCTCTTTGTATTTACAGCATTTTATGAAAGTTCTGCATAGACCAAGGACCAAACAAAACTCAGCAAAATGCCCTCTCTAATAATTGCTGCTTTAAGTAGACAGCAGAGCCATGGTTTTTTTGGTTGGTTGGTTGCTGGGGTTGCTGGGGGTTTTCTTTTGTATGGTTTGTATTTGTTTGTTTGTGGTTTTTGTTTGGTTTTTTTTTTTTGTTTTGTTTTGGTTTGGTTTTGTGGGGTTTTGGGGAGTTTTTTTCAACTGATAGTGCCAGGGAAAGAAAACCACTTTATGTCCTTGTGCTGCTGAGGCTTTGTATGTGTGATCAATGTCCCTACAGTGAACCAAAGAATTGAGAGGCTGTAGTTTCCCCTAAACACCTATTTCAACCAGTCAAGGGAAAGGCTTTAGAGTCATACTTTGAAAGCAATGAGTTCCTTGGACTTCTGCCTTTTTTACTGAGATTCCCTGTCCAAGCCTGGTTAAAGAGATGCCCAGTTCCTCAGTTCTGCCAGCAAAGGACTGCTTCCAGAGATTATCCCCTCCTGATATCAATACAACACACCCAGAAGGACTAGTAAATATAACTCATCTTGCCAATTAAATCCAAATACCACAGAAAAACTTGAGTTTTGCTACTAGGAATCTACACTGTGTCTTCGAGGAGAGAAGAGGGAGAGAAAAAGATAATCCATTAAAATAATAAAAAAAAAATTTGGAACAATATTTAGCCTGTGGACCAAGCATCCTGCTTTCCCCAAGACAAACTGGGGAATTAGGAGAYGGAAATAGTTGCCTTGAACAAACCTGTAAAGCAGCACTCCTTACTTCTGTCCAGAAGACCTTTATATGCTTCTCCCTCTCTGAAAAAAATCCAATTAATTTGCAGAAATTAGCTTAGATGTCAGTAAAGAGGATTCAGACAATGTTCCACTTCTACATAGAAGCCACCAGTTGCATGTGCCACCAAATGAACACACAAAATTAATTAATACCAACCTGAGAAGTTTAGATGAGCTGATTCACCGGAGCAATGCAGTGTAGATTCCAGATTGTTTTTGTGGACTATGAGTCCTTGTGCCTAGATTTCAGTTCAATCCTAGTTCAAACCTAGCTCCAGTGTAAGGACCAATACCTCATGTCTCACTTTTCCCACCTTCTCAGTCTTCTCATCCCCTTGTTACCTACTTGTACTTAAACCCTCATGTAGCTCACCAATATTCAGCCTTTTGACTATTCAATAGACTACTGTGAAATAGGATGACAGTATCAATGTAGGAATTTCATTCCCTGCAAAAAGGGCCAAGAGTCACAGAATTTGTACACAAGACACTTTAATGCAAATCAAATAGTACTGTTTCATTCGAAGGTGCTCCACATTCTCAAACACCCAACACTGAGATTCCCAGTTTTACCATTCCATTGAGAAATTCACTTTTAGTCTTAACAACAGAAATTTTAAAAGACAACCCTTTATTATTTTCTTATTTAATCAATAATGTATTTCAATACCAGCTATTAAATCTTTATGAGCAACAGGAGCATATTCTGCAAATTTATTGATCAATATTTAGTACAACCTCAAAACTCTTATCCAAAACCCATGTATTCCAAAATTAGGTTTCCTCCCTCAACATGCAACATTTGAATAAAAAAAGTCCTGACTTACTCCAAAAAAATTCCACTATGCAGTTATATAAACTCAGATCTCTTGACAACCCCTCTGGCTTATGAAGACACAGGTTTATATAAAGAACCKCCAAAAGAAAATAAAAAATGGATATTATTTTGCTGACATTTCCAAAGGTTTCTAATAATTCCATTACCATAGCAGTACACATACATAAAGACACTGTGTCCAGTAATATAGTATTTTTGAAGGACTATAATTGTTCTCTGCAAAAGGCTGTGGCACGTTATGCTGTGACTATAACAGAAACTACTGTGCAGCCATTCCATTTTATTTAAGCCTTCATAATTAGGAAAGTATCTCTGTTGGAATTATATTTATTAAAAAAAACCCTTACTTTAGATTACTAAAAAAGTGCACATTCTGTAAGTGCAGGTTCCATTTCACCATTTCTACTCCTTGTTTGTTCTACATTTCAGTTCCAATCCCCAGTTTTCCACAATATCCTGCAATGTTTGGACTGCAGAAATAAAGGCTATATTTGCCTTTAATCAAAACACTGGTTTTAAAGATATTTTCATATGACCAACACATTTCAGGCAATCTCACGTTTTCAAAAACATTCTTTTCCCATCCTACAGAATCAAAACTTCTATCACTAGGTAGAGGCCTTTAAAAATAAACCAAAAACAGTATACACAATATTTCAAGAGAGCAAAGCAGCTATGTAGTTGAAAATGGCAAMACAGACATTTGAAACATTAAAACAATTTTCCTCCTTTCTATATGAGGCCTCTGGACACAAAGAGATTGTGCATTTTGTATGGTTTTCTAGCCCCTGTTTACAAGTGGAGAGGCACATTTTCAGAAGGGTTTCTTATTTAGCTAACAGAAAAAGWAATCAAATTATAAATGCAGTGCTGATGCTGCCTAGATTCTCTTGCTCATATCATGGTAAGCACCAAACTTCTTGTCCTTGCTTACAGGGTTCGTGTTTACACTCAGTGTCATTGTTGATGACYGGTATATGTTAGCTGGTTTTAAAATAACAAACTGGGGAAGATTGATAAAAAAGTGCAGAGCTCTGATTTGTTGTATACTGATTCAGTTTACAGTATTTTACGCAGGAATGTGTCATCTTTGCTCACAGACAGTGAAAAATGTCTCAGCTCAACAGAAAGCATGGAACTGCATGATATTGGGATAAGGATTTTCACAATTTCTACAAAAACGTAAATAGTTATGCCCAAACCCACCAGGAGGAACACGTCTTCAGTGGAATCTTCCATCAACGCTCTCAGCTGAAATTCACAGGTCAATCCTGCATCTGTCTCTGGAGAACATCTTTCAGGAACGGTGAGATCAAGAGGGAGCAGGTAAATCCTAAGGTGCAATGCCTGGAGTGCAGTTTCTCTGTGCAGCGTAGGAGAGGATTTTCTGTGCAGCCGCGTGTGAACACTTGAAGGACAGAGCGAATTATCCCATCCATCAGCCCCCTCCACACCTCAGCCACCCTACTGCAGCCTGGGACACAGCTCTGCTGGGAAAARCTGGATTATTCCCAGTGTATCCACATGAAGCACTTCAGCTTGAAGCTGCAAAGGATACTTCCTTACCTCAGCTATTTAATGCAAAAGATAACAGTATTGGGCTGCTGATAGGGAGCTGTGTTACTGATATCTCTCCTTAGAGGGAAAGAAGAAAAAATGACTTCACATCTGACTGTTACGGATACTAATACTTTTGTCAAAAGCAGAAACACACAGAGATTTTACAAAATRCTGTCTAGACACTGGAGCACACTGACAAAAAGAAACCATTTGAGTACAAGCTTAATAAGGCAGGGTAAAATCTACCACCTTACAGCTAACAACACTTCGAAAATGAGTCTGCTGTGTGTGATTTCACTGATGTCTGAGGGAGACAAAGCTCATTATATTCATGTTGTTGATACTTTCAGTCAAATAGATTGCTGAATAATCATGTTTTCTTTATTCTAATGGGTGAGGAAGCTATTATACAGAAGGTGTTTCCATATGTTGCAGTTAATAAAGGCAATTCTTACTAATAAGAGTAGGTTGTCTCCACTCAGCTAACTGATGAAGAGCCCTCCTGTTCAGAGGAAAAAACAAATCCTGTGTCTAGAAGGGACTCCTAAGGCTGCACATTTCAGTGGCTACTGGAAAGTACTGTAGGCAGATGAATGCCAGGTCTTCTCCAACTGAGTCCAAAACAGTGACATTCACTAAAGAGTTCAGGGCACTGGGAGCAAGCACTTCATGTCATCAGCCTCTCCTCCATATCCACCCTTTTCTTGCTGGTGAAGGACAGCGGACAAGACCTGGATCCATCATTATGCAAAATTATCAGCAAGTCCTTTCAAGAGGTCAGGGTGCTTTCTTCTTTGAAGAAGCATCTGGGTCACTTCCTTAAGAGCTCAAAATTCTACTTGGAGAGTATGGCTAATTATAGACTGGGATCACATGTTCTTTCAGTCTGAAAGCATAAAATGCATGGAGAGAAACAATTTTTAGGGAATCACCCAGAAGTGTGAGACGTCACTTACATCTTTTTCTTTCTAAACACAAAATTGGGTGCATGTCCACAACTGGAAAAAAAAATCTCAAGTCTGCATGATACTGTTAGAGCTACCTAGTCAAGAGAGACAAAAAACAACTCTTGAAATTCATCCCAATTTCCTGTGATGTGTTCAGTGTCACACCACATCTTTAAAAGCCACTAAAGGGAATCAAAACCTATTGAAGGACAACACATCTCAGACAATTAATATATCCCAGCTAGGTTTACACAGCAGCGTTACACACTGGTTTTCTCTGGATTTCAAAGTAGGGCAGAGATTGTTCACCTGTGAGTACCTGAGTAGAAAAAAAAGACCTGCCTCTGTTGCCATTCCCACCTTCAGGGAGACTGACAGTTTCCTACAAGAAGTTTCAAAAGGCACATCATCTCTCCRTGGTAAGTATCCAACTGTAGCCTTACATTTATGAACTTCAAAGCATTCTGCAAGACATCTTTTAATCCAGACATATAAAAAATGAAGAAATTATTTTGTGGAGAGACATTACTAATAAGAAATAATTTATTTCTKTGTGTTTTCTGGGAATCTTGTTCTGGTGGTTTTCACTATTCAGAATAGGCTTCAAGAAATGCAAAAAATACCCAAAGAAAAAGGTGGATGCTTTCAAATATAGAGACAACGGCACCAGTTCCTACACATGCAACTAGTCCAGCTGGATGTTCACTGTCACACATAATACTTTCCAGGATTTTAACCAAAGCTAATATGGCCAACATTTTCAAAACTGGTCACTAATTATGGGCAATTCCTAATTCAGTCCAAGTTTCAGAACTGCWGAACAATATGCCCTTGTGGACATTCAGTTTAGAAAATCAAATCCAAGGTGACTCAAGCCAATACTGAAAAATACGAACACTCGGAGTTTGCATTTGTTTTTGAAGATGCAACCCCTCAAGGCTAAATCCTGCTTTAAAGATGCTGCAATAGTTTTGAAAGCTGCATATTTTTGTTGAACCACTAGAAGGCATAGACAAATGTGATGGGTGGACTCTGCATCCATGCTCCTTCAGTGGGACCAGTGCAAACAGCCTCTCCCTGACCAGCCAACACTGATGACTGGGAAYGGAGGGAATCTGGGATAGGGAACCAGGAGTAGCCCTTGCAGAGATGAGGCAGAACAAGGGCTGCTGTTGGATCCTACCCAGAACACAGAACCCAGCCACAATATGTCCACACAATGTTTCTGTCTCAAAGATGTGGGAAGTCCTGTTATGTCTGCATTCACAATTGAACATGATTTTGACATTATTATGGTGCTGATGCTGTTATATCTTCAGTGTGTGATGGATCCTGGCTCTGTTCGGGCCTGTCTATTGTTCATGAGAGACTTTGTCTTTGCAATGATCGGAGAACAAGGTGTTCTGGAAGCTCTTTTCAGCTGTGATCTGGTGAACTTCTTACGGATTCTTCTGTAGAAGGGAAGGAGGAAAGGAGGGAAAGAAGAGAGAGATAACAGAAGAGAGAAATCTCAGTCTTTAACAGAATASCGCTCAAGAGCCCATAACAAACATAACAAATACTCTTACCAGAGCAGGAAGGCTAGTTCATGGAAAAGAGACTTGMAGTCAACCAGAGTGAGCCCTGTCCATCAACTGATGATTCACAGTTGTCTGATAATGATTCATCAAGAAGTGAATAGGTGTTAGACAATATTTGAAGAATAATAATATTTGATTACATGAAATCTTGGCCCAGAATGCCCAGGTGGTGAATCCTCACATGTGGTATCGATACTGGAATGAGGGACCACAGAAGAAAGGACCGTGTTGGCACCCAGTGAATGTGCCACCTCTGTAAAAGTGGGAGCAATTGYTGCTACTTGCACTGTACCACTTCTGCAATAGCACAGGCCCCTGAGCTCTGGACTTTTTCTCTAGTGCCATTCAGGTGCAGTAAATTCACTTTCATTTTTGGTTTTCAGATGATAAACCAAACATATTAATACAGGTGGCCATGTTATTTGTCTTTTAATCTTGTATGTCCAAGGATTGTTTATTTTGAAGCATAAATCCTTGCTATGTTTCAACAGCCATGTCTCTTTACTGTTACAAATCAATAAGCACAGTGCTGAGTGTATCCAGGGCAGGGATCAGAAAACACAGAAATGGTACACACAGCACACCAAAAACCATCTTCATTGGCACAGACCCGAACATTAGATACTACTGGAAATGACCTATTTTCTGAATTCACTCAAGTCAAGAATCCCAACCTTCATTTAGGTAGTTTTATAAATTATAGTGATTTTGATCTTAAGGAAATGAATTAAAGCAAACTGGAGCCTCTAAACTTAATGAGATCAGGCTTTCTAATTCAAACTTTTTGACYTGAATATGTGACCTACAAACTCCAGGGTGATGAGGTGCCTACCTGCATCAAGGTTCTGAGATRGTAACTCAAGGACTGGCTTTTCCCTTTCATCTAAATGGGCTGTTCAACCTCTGAAACTGAAAAATGGTGGCACGTGACATTGAAAATACAGGGTCAGCTGTAAATARATTCTCTTGAATGCCAAAATAACAATTTGCATATTAAATTTCAAACAGCAGTTTGTTACTAGTTACAGGTTGAGTTGGCCCCCAGGGATGTAAACTTCCACTTTAACTAACTGGGCCACAGAAGAGAAAATAAGAAAAAAAAAAAAAAGCCCAACAGGCAAAAAACAGAAGAATATACTCTGCTTTTATAGATTAAAGGGAGCCTGAAAAATATATCTATTGAGGTTAATGTATTTTAAAGGTGCAGAGATGTATTCACTTTTGAAAGGATGTCTTCATGGCCTGGAATACCAAATTAGGGTTTAGCATCATTTAGCAATAAACACAACAGAAGGAAAGGAAAGGGAATCACCAGAAAGTTAAGTTTCAGTTTTTCACACAATGCCACTGAGAAAAAAACTTACTGTTTGAGTATTCACTTTACATGGTCATCCTAAATGAGGCCAAAGACATATTAAATTGATTGCAAAGATATTGCATACCTTCCAGAACAGTAAGACCATAGAAATGTAATCTCAGCATGGCAGAAATGTGTCTTTCTAAAATAATGAGACAGCCGGCTTTTATAAATTCATGTGGATAGACAATAGCCATTACCCACACAGATTATTAATGGGCATCATCCCAGAAAAACCTTACAGAACAGGATCCTTTTTTGATATATTTGTTTGCAAAACTTGGTATTTATTTACAGAAGGAATGTGRTCATTAATCATTTGAGAAGCCCAAGGTTCAAATAATATCAAATAATTGTTTACCCTTCTGTATTTTTAATAAAGCAACTTTATAAACTGCCAAGAGGTTCCTGCTTATGAAAGTAATTTGCAGCTGACACTAAATGTAAGGACAGTTAGGGTACTTTAGATTAAAATTCATGATTATTTTGTATGGACAGCAAAATAAAAGATATCGTTATTCCCATTTAATACTGGTTCAAAACCAGCATGAAGAAAGGCAGAAGAAAAACGTAATCACATTGTTCTGTCAAGCAAGCCACAAACAGAGGCAATTGCTCATTCAGAATAAGTGAAAGTAGCTCTATAAACTCTGTCAGAAAAAAACTAATCTGATATGCACTCTGAAAAGGCAATCCAGCACTTCTGTTCAAACAGGATTGTGAAAATGCTTCCAGAAATTAGCTTTCTGGGATATAGCCTTTCAGAAATAAAACTGGAGGAATGGAAATTTCCATTGACTACATCAAATGTTATATTTAAACAATCATTTCTCTAAAAACCAAAATTGTTCTTTTTACTGCAAAATATATAGAAGGTGGAGGGACCAGATGCTTTACACTGAAGAATTCAGCATCTAAATACAGTCTAGCTTTTTGAGAGGCATTCATCAGGTTTTACAATTCTTCAGAATTTTTTTAACACTTAAACATGCAATAGTAGCTGACAAAAGGCTAACTCAAAGATTAAGTTGTCATCACCGTTTCACCCAGAGCACTTCACCCTCCCCCAAAGATACACTGAACTAAGGGCAGAGTCAYCCTTAATGCTCAATTTCCTGTCCCTCTTTCAGTTGATACTAGCCATATGTTTTAATTACATAAAGCCTTTATTTGGCAGTGGTAATAAATGTCTTCCCTATCTGTATCGTTGGTAACATCCTTTGCAGTTGTTAGGACAGATTAATTGCCATCTCCCCTGGTTCTTTGACTTTTGTACTAGGGCTTGAAGTATGATGCATTTACAGACCTGAAATGCAGATTCAAAAGTATTTTAAAGCCTTTGCTTTGTATTTCCAGCCTTCCTGCTACCAAAGGTTTGAGAATGAACAAAATATTTAATAGGGGATCAGTATATAAAGCCCACTGTGCTCATTTTTAAGTCAACTGTGATGCACTCGTATAATTTAGGAATAATATGAATCCTTTACATCTACATCTACCTACTGTCTTGTGGATGCCATTCGAGCAACATCCTTATATGTAGGAACTGGTGCTGTGGAAATGCATTGTTATGCAATTGCTGGTAGCACAAGGAGCACYCCCAGGTCGGCAGCAGGCAGAAGAAAACTGATTTCCTGCCCAATCATAGCTGAAATTCCATATAATCTCTCCCATTGGGGTGAAGTATTCTGCTGTGACTTGCCAAGTGTAAACAGCAACATTAATGTGCAAGATGCATAAACACTGCCAACACTGGGAGGATTTTGTGTTCTGGCACAAATCGTGTGTGAAACTTGCAATCAGTCTAACCATAGAGCCATTTGGAGAGAAAACAAGGCTAAAAAATAAGAAAAAAATATTCTAGAGATATGTTTGTCAAGTTGCTGCTGCTCCAGGGCAATATATAYTTTGTGCAATGTAAATTTTCAGTGCAAATTCAAGGTCATTTAGAGAAAACAACTATTTAAAAGAATAACCATCATTCCTTGGTTGTTATTAGATCCTTGAGAAATCACTTATTTCTCTGAGATCATCTTTTATCCAGAGGTAGATTTTAACTATTCAGTGGATTAAACTGCAAGAGTGTTACTACCTTAGAAWGCTGATAAGTTTTTGTTAATTTCAATAGGCTTTTAACCATGGTGAAAGGCCAAAATGTGTGCAGTGCTGCTTGCACAGAGAAGTTAAGTGGGATTAAGCTGTAGGCACAGATCCTTAGAAACCTGTAAGGTGACTGATTTAAGGACTCACAACACTTCCCACATTTCTACCTGTGTGGAAATGAGAAGTATTTTATTTAATTGTTTGGCTTTTTGCCTTAGATATTATTTTTTTCCCTCAACACTTTCAGGATAAAGCTTTCCCATCTTGCATTAAAATTTTCATCTAAGTTCAACATTACAGAAACTAGTTAAAAATAGGTTTGGAAGGCAGAAGTGGGTTGACACTGATACACCTTTTAAAAACAAGGGCCTTAGGAAATGTTAATTTATAAAAATATAATGGAAGATTTTAATAAGCATGGGGCTACTGGGAAGCTGTTGCCATGAGCCATGTAGTTGCATTATAAAACCCATACAGATGGCAGATAGACTGATAGAACCTTTAAAGAGGTGCTGCTATAGACAAGCCAATATTATTTAAATGTTTTAAGAGCTTATCTTATTTTTCTCCTCCTAGCAAGGAAATGTTTTCCTTTGCTAGTGCTTATCTTCCAATATTTTATCAATATTTACGGAGCAGCACTGTTCTCTATAAACAATAATTTTTAGACTCACCAGTTACAAATTATTGTGTTAGATCTTCCTAAGTAGCTTAAGACAACATATTTTTTTCACGTATTGCACCACTTTGAGGCCTTTTCTGATGTTTGTGTTTCAAAGCAACAGCATATAGATACTACATATATATAGATGGTCATTAATGATGGGGTTTAGCATTTTCTCTATTGGGAGGAAAAAGCACRGACTTCTATGAGTGTGTCRAGCCTGAMCTATCATATGGCACAAGCCACCTCYGTTTCTGTCTACTTACAGGTGATTTAAAATCTACCCAGACCAAAGTCACCTTGGAGCAGGAACCGTCTATTTACGTGTATTTCTAGAGTGCCTAGAACAACAGGTCTGTCTACTACTGAAATATCTACTATTGAAGTTATTTCTATCCAGTTTAACTGCAAACAACTGTCACGGCTTTTGGAATAAACMATTAGTTTAATGTATTTTCCCATTATTTTCATTTCCCCTGAAAATATTTCATTACTAGTCTAAAGTGGTTTAGGAGAGACRGAATTAAAGAAACACAAAGTCCTATTCTCAGCACCACTATTCATTATTCATTTGAATGCTGGAGCTGGAAAAATCTTTTAACCCTAAGAAACATCATAAAGAGATTCTGTCATATATTGATCATCACATGATGAATAAAYCTGAATCCCAACAACCAGCAGGGAGATTATCCTCCCAGATTATCCTCACAATATTATCTGTGAGCTTGGCATTTACCACCAAGAGGC